CACCACTATGCCTCGGTAGGCGTCACCACTATGCCTCGGTAGGCGTCACCACTTCGCCTCGGTAGGTGTCGCCACTATGCCTCGGTAGGCGTCACCACTATGCCTCGGTAGGTGTGCGAGTATAAAAACCAATATGAGTTTACAAAAATGACTAATGAGATCGTTAGTGGCAACAGATTTCGCTATTGTGCAATGTTATGTTACATCCCTATCACTATGGCAACAAAATTGCGTATCTCACCATATTTTGAAACAGTTGAATATATATATACATACCATAGCAGGGGATTTTCTAGAAAAAAACTGCAAGAGGGAGCACTGCAATTCAGCGGCGCCACCAAGTGGGGGGGGGGGGGAGATAGGGTTCTCCCTACCAGGGTGTAGAGTTTTTGATAATTCTAAGTTAAAATTGAGCATTTTATGGCTTCCTTGGAGCCAAAATTACTATCAGACAGGTCACAGTTGAAGACTGTGGCCACATGTGACCCCTGGTCAATCAGAATTAAATGGTTGCCAGAGGATCTGCTCCCCAGGGTAAGGGGGCGAATGGCCATGGGATGAGGGCGCTGCACCCCTGTTCCCTTGTTTAAACAAATCCCTGCCAGAGCCATTAACTCTTTGAGCACCATGATTTTTCTCGCCAACATTTTGCCTATTTCTCTGTATTTTCATTGAATTTTTTTGATCATTTTGGAATAAATGAACATAGTTTTCTATTGGCTACAGGGCTTGATCAAATCTGTGAAAAATGTACTAGTAACATGTTTTATTTACTGTATAATACTTTATTTTCACTTGGAATTAATTTTATTTTCGGTGAAGAAATGATTCAGAGAAAATAAAATCCAACGAATATACCTTTTTTTTCTATATTTTACATTCAACTTGTCATAAATCAGTGAAAATAAATTCCATAAAAACACCAAAAATGTCTTTTCAGCCAAAATTAATTCCAGCTAAAAAAAAAGTATTTTACAGTAGTGAATGGTGACGAAAGTTTACTTTTAGGTCAACTTTTTATCACCATTCACAAAATATAAACCTCCAAAATTGTTTACATATTTTTTTCAAAATTTTTATAAAGATCTATAGGTATATCTGGTCTCAAAAATTTACAAAGTAATAAAAGTAAAACACATAAATATACGCAAAGTATTGCCACAAAATGAAAAAAATTATGGCATTCAAAAAGTTAAAGCATGATTCAAATATGCAAATTATCAAGCCTCTTCCAAGGATAATTTATGTAGTGTCGAAAGGAAGGGATAATAACTCACCATGGTGTGTAAGAAGCTGCAATAAATAAATAGATAATGGCTCTGTCACCAACATGGAAGAAGAAAAACAGATTCCTGTAATGAAGATAGAATATACCATGTCAGTTTCATTTGTCAAACATTCATCAAAGTATTAGTGAAGAGACTATTACGAGGTTACCATGTGGATGCCACAAAGTATGCACAAATAGAGTACAGTGGAAGTTTCGATTTAACCGCTTTGGGTGAGATGCCCAGAACTGAGCAAAATAGTGAAAATGACTGGAACTTTCTCGCCCGAACCTTTTTTTTTAAATACAAGTACGTCCACCATCTTGGAAATACTACATAATTGTTTCACATTTGGAATAAATTTTTCCCAATAAGGTGATGAGCAGATACCCCATGCAATACTGGAAAAATTAAAACACACTCAAACTTGTGGGGATTCATTAACAGATGTATAAAAACCCAAATTTCACAAAAGTTGACCAAATTGACATTTAAGTTCAAACCTGCCTATCCATTTATTTTATATATATACATGTATAAACATGGTAACTGAGACGATAGCATTACACCACTTGCTATATGTACTGTAAAGGGGGTAATTATTCACTGGGTTTTAATTTAGCTTATTTCGCTGACTGGAAAAATGCGCTAAATTAAAACACAGTGAATATGTAAAATTTAGCATAGAACACATTATCTAAATGATAAAACCGTGAATTTAAAACCCACTGAATATGCCTGAAATGGTAAATCAGTGAAATTTAAACCCAGTGAAAATTAGTCATTTTACAGTACTTAAGCGCATACCCTACTTAATAGCACAAATACAGTATTTCAAAAGTACCCTGTATACCATATTAGTAGCGCATACACTTCGGTAAATTGCAGAGGTGTTTCTATGTTCAAAGTATGTAATATTTCAATAATGTACTTTATTATATATGCAATTGTTGTCTTACATGCACTTCTATTGGTGCTTCTAACAGAACAAATACAGT